GCATTTAAGAGTCTTTTAATGAGAATTTACTCTTTAGTATATAATTACTAATGAACAAAAAGAGGGCAATTAAACTCACTTCTTTATAGTGCCATAAAACTTCAATGTGTAAGAAATATTATATACACATGTTAATCAAACTCAAGAAAAACTGAAATGTGCAACATCTAAAAATACGTAGTGAAATTATATACCTTTTCTGCTGAAATAAATGCCCTCCTGGATGACTGATGAAGCTATTTTTTAATGGATTTGCTTATAATTTATACACAGACTGTAGTCCTAATGATGGTGATGAAATGTCTAAACTTCCTATATGAAATCTCAATTTCCAAATGAACACTGATTTTCCACACTGATAATGGACTGTTAGGATGAATTTTATATTAATTAATATTTTTTTACCACCTGCCATGTGCCAGGCATTGTACTGAGTGCGAGGAAACCACCAGAAAAAGCACAGATTCAATCTCAATACTCTCTACAAACAGTCGAGAAGGAAAGACAAATAATGAACAAATGTGCTATGGGAAAGTACAACAGCTCCTTGGTCAAATGAAAGCTCAAAACTGAGAAGACATGGATAGAAAATCAAACACCTGAAAATGATTAGCTACCACTGAACTGAGGGGATAAAAATCACCAACTACATGACTCAGCTAAGAAGGCAAAGAATCGAACAGCTACACAGACAGGAAAGGGATCTAAGTAATGACTGGATGAAGTCTAGGGTGTTCTACAGTCTGATGCAAATGAAAAAATGGACTCAAATCAAAACAGCCAAAAAAAGCCCAGTTCTCAGCCAGCCTATCCTCAGTATGTAAGGGGTCAATCCAGTAAGTGGAAGTCCTGGAGGCAGCAGCATAGTATCTTGGCTCTGCAAGTTCTGCCTCAGTTGAAACAGAGCCCCAACCATCCACCTGCGGAAAAGAACAGGTCCCAACTCCCTGAGCAGAAGAGGGAACAGCAAGGAGAGTCAGATGACCAAATGGTTAGAGTTCTGAAGCAGGTTAAGACAAGTTTTCAGGTCCACAAATGATCTGGAGTACAAAAAGAAACAACACAAGAAAACATCAACGCTACGGACTATTTAACACTAAAGAAAGGCTGTGGAACTGCTTCTCTGGTTACTTTTAAAAATGAATACTCAAAAACCAAGTCATCTGTTTAAATGACTTAAGTATGACCTTAAAGTATGGGGGGAAAGGACTGGATACTCTGATTCTTATTAATGAATTTATATCCTAATCCCATCTAAACCTTTATTGAAATATTCTAGATGCCTCACACACACCCCTCATTAAAATGTTTATGCTATGTATTTTAAAACTCTTGATGAGTAAACTGTCTTTAAAAATCTTAGTCAAACTGCATACATGCCAACAGTATGGTGAGGTACCATACTTCCGTGAGCAATGAATGTTCAGGGCATCAGAAAAATTCCAGATCCCACCTCCGGAAAGGGATGGAGATTTTAATGTATTTTCAATCTTAAAAATCAATTCAAAAACTGGGTCAAAGGGGTAAAACTGGCAGTGGGTAGGATACACAGACTGGAACTAGCAAAAGAGCCAGAATGATACATGTGAAATTATCTCCTTCCTATAAAAAACACCCTGCTATACTGTACAATTGTTCTCAGTTATAAAGTTGTAGAAAAAAATGTATGTAGTCCACAGACGTCGTCCTTGTGAAAGCTATTATTTATGATCTACATATTCAAATAGGAATCATGCTAAGGAATTGGCCCTGCATTTGCTCAAACATTATTTTCCAAAGCTATTCAAAGGGTGAAGTGGTGGTACTTTCCAAAAGAAATGCTTGAAAATTTTCCTCTGTTAATTTTTTTAAATAAACAAAACACACTATTCTGATCTATTAAAAGAGGAGATAAGCCTAAGAGAAAAAGAAAATACAGTAGGTTTTTGAGTTGTTTTGTTTTGTTTTGTTTTACCATACCACCAGAATGCCATATAAAACAGTTTAAAATGTTCTATCAGGACAGTTTGCCAAGGTAGACTGAACTCCAAAGTCATGATCCTTATAAAAGTCTACATGCTGAAAAATGTTTCACCTTATAAAGTGAAACCAAAACTTTAAAATGTGGCATACAGCAATAATTAGAGGGTCACTCAACTGATGGTGGTCAAACTTTGCTCCAGTGGAAAATTTCACGGAAATTTTGTATTACTTTAGCTCTACTGAGGTATTCTATCAAAAAATTTAACTAACGGTCATTTTCCCTATTTCACAGAGAGTAACATATGTTAAAAAGTAAAATCCTCAATGTTAAGTTTGTTCCCCCATTTCTTCTAAAATATTTATTACCTGATACCTTTTTCAATACTGGAATTAAGCCTAATATAGTCTATGATTCAACACATAAATGGAAATAAATTATTTCAAATTTACAAAATCATGATTCATGACTTCCAGCCACTCAGCTACCTTAAGTTTGCGTAAGACCAGCATGAACACGAGAATATCCACTACACTTGACACTAGGCACACACAGATAGAATAAGACATGGTCTTGGGGTGCCTGGGTGGCTCAGTGGGTTAAGCCTCTGCCTTCAGCTCAGGTCATGGTCCCAGGGTCCTGGGATCAAGCCCCACACTGGGCTCACTGCTCAGTGGGGAGCCTGCATCCTCCTCTCTCTGCCTGCTGCTCTGCCTACTTGTGATCTCTCTCGCTGTGTTAAACAAATAAAAAATAAAAATCTTAAAAAAAAAAAAAAAAAAAAAGAGAGAGTAAGACATGGGTCTTTCACGAAGCCCCCACCAAACAAAGTGCACAAAAGCCAAAAAGTATTTATTTACTAAATGCCTGAACACTGTGGTGTTTAGCAAGAACTTCAGGACTTCGGCATTTGAGGCCCACTAAGAAAAGTGATGCTGCCTGGGAATACTGGAATTCAGTTACTACATGTGTATAGCACCTTTCTTCCTCATTAACATCAAGGTTATATACACCACAGTCTTAAACACACAGACTTTTAAAATGCCAATCTCCTGGAATCAAAACAGACTATCTGAATCAAGAATATGAACAAACATTCTTGAAGTGAAAATAATTACTAATTTCAAACAAACTGGAAAGTACTGTTTTCAACTGATAGACTGTAACATGTCCTAATTATAAATAATCTGTATCATTTGCATCTAATGGGTCCAAACACAAACTAAGGCATATACTCAGAAAAAAAGAACAAAGAAAATTTAGTAATTACTAGACTTTTTAAAAAATAACATAGTGAAAACAAATTTTGGTACAAAAATATTCATTGGGGAGGTCTGAATTTTATACTTAAGTATTCAGTTAATTAAGTCAACTAGTTCTATTCAACTCCTGTTGAAAATCTTCAAGAAACTTTCTTTGATTAATTTCTCCCTGTAAAATAATGGGGTTGTATTTAACTGTGAAAGTTTCTTAAAAAAGAAATTTCTGTACTTCTGTGGTATGTAAGATGAAAATGTCAACAGGATTTCAAAACAGGAGTAAAGAAGCCATCTTAACGTCTCAAACTGATAATGCTAAAAATTCAGTTTCCTATTTTTATCTCAATATCACGGTTCAGATTTTACCTATTCAGTTTACAAGTTTGTCAAAGAAAGTTGCATGATTCAAAAGGTACCCCTCCAACTCTCAATACTAACACCGTTTCATCAAATACAAGCTCCAAAGGAAAATATGTAAGAAAGTGAGAGCTAAGGAGAATCTACTCCTATCAGACCTGGGATGCACTAATTAAAATTCAACATAGCTTCGTAGGTCTGTGGGTTTCTACATGAAATTACTGCCACGCTTTAGCTTAAGGTTAAACAGGCTAGCAGAATGCAATAAAATGGCTCTGCTGAATTATTCTGAACTTCTTTTTAGCATCTCCTTTACCTGACCACTACCATGAGTTTTAAGATCAACTTCAGGGGTAGGACCAAACAACCAAGGTGAGCCACACCACTGGAGGGCTGCGCTGTGAAACCCACCTCTTGCGGAAAATCACCGTCAGCTCAACGTTTTCCATTTCATTCGGTGATACAGGTGGAGGAAAAAGTGCAAAGCCTTCTCTTTGAACCTCCCATCACACTGCCTCAAGGCGCTAATTTAAGAATTATCTCAAAGATAATCTAATGCAGTACAGTTCTCAGAAGATTCTAAAAGTTGTATTTGCGAGAGAGAGAGAGAGAGAGAGAGAACTCCCTCAGGCCTAAAGGTTAAGTTGTGGCGTACTGCAACTTCGCTGCAGAGTACGTGGCTAGACTTAAAAGGCTTAAGAGAACCTTTCCACCGAACAGTTAGCCCGCATCACGATCAAAATAAGTATATGTCCGATCCTCACAGGGATGGGGCAAGGGGCGAGTGAGGGCTTTCATTTCAACTGACCGAGAGGCAGAGGGGCTGGCGAGGGCAGGAAAGTAAGAGCAATAAAGGACAGCCGCAAAGGTTCCCCTCAGGAAGGCCCGGAGGCGCGTGTGGCAAGGGACCCCGCCTCGCAGTCCCGTGGTCGGCAGGAGGCCCCTCCGCCTACTCGAGCCAACACCTACTTCTCCCCGCGCGAGAGTAACGAGCCCCCAACCCGCCCCTCGCCTGCCGCAGGAGAAGGCGGCGGCACGCCGGCTCCCTAGAAGCTACCACACACCAAGCGCAGAACTCAAAAAAATTAAATAAGAAAATGGCCAGCCTACAGGACTGAAATGCAGCGGCCGGTGTTCCCGGCTCCATAGTCAAGGCGGACGGCAGCGCAAGGAACTCAGCGCGTGCGCTCGGGAAGCGCGCCGCCCGCGCGGCCCTCAGCTCCGCCCCCCCCCCCACCCCCGGCTCTCCGCGTTGCTGCTGCTGCCGCCGCCGCCGCCGCCGCCGCCGCTGCCGCCGCCACTGCCCCTCTGGGAACTTCGCGCCGCGCGGCCCCGCGAGGCGGGCGTCGGGGAGGGAAGGGGAGGGGCCGCGCTCCCCGCCTCCCCTCCGGCCCGCGCGACTCCCCAGCCCGAAGCCTACTCACCTCCTCCTCCTCCTCCTTGTCTCTCCCTCCTGGCCACCGGCTCGGCCCAGCCGGCGACGCGCTGACGCCGTGCCCCTCCCCCGCCGCCGCCGCCGCCGCCACCGCCGCCGCCGCCCCTCCCGGCCTGCGGCCGCTGCGGCCTTCGGGCGCGTCAGGCGCAGGCCCCACCCTTTGGCCCGCCCACGCGCCCAAGACTCCGCCCACTGCGCGGTCGGACGGCGGGAGCGCGGGGTCCCTGACTCAGCGCGGATTCCGCCCGCGCGCGCCGAGTAGTCTTAGTTCACGGCCCCCGCTCCTCTTCCCACCTACCAAGGGCTTCGCTTCACTTCTCACCTCACTGCGCGCCCTTTCCCCCTTTCCATCTCTTCATCAATACCCCTCTCTGCCTCTTCAGCTTTTTTGTACTCTTTCTCTAACCCTCTAGTCTTGTTCTAAGCTCGTATTGGCTCCTTCTCTTTTCTTCTGGACGGTCTTCGCTGCTCACTAGATCGGCCTCGGCTTCCTCCCGCAGTTTTCCTGCCGGCTCTTCCTGCCTCGGTTCCTCTCCCTGGCCTGCTGGGGCGTCCGGGCCTCCGTGGGTTGCCGGCCTCTTCCCTTCCACCTGTATCTGCTCTGCAGCTCTCACGTCTGCTTTGCTTACGCGTCCTAACTTCCCTCGGAGCAGGCTCACGCTTTCCTTTACCTACAGTTTGTCTTTTCGGTTCTGACTCCTCCACACACTTAAGATGCATTTCGGCTATTCAACAATTGCTTGTCCACACTTACATGAAGAGAATCACATTGAGGAATTAAAACGCACAAAGCAAAGCGATAGCAGTGGTGACCATCTTTCAGCTGCATAGTTGTCTCTTCGTTGTCATTGGGATACTGTATTGACTCAAATTTAAAAGCTTAAAATTCACAAATTTTGGATGTTTTTTCCCTGCAACCTAACCTCACTTTTTTTTTTTTTTTTTTTTTTTTACGTAGTAGAGCATCAGGACCTTTTAGTTTTCGTTTTCTTACCTGTAAAGTGAGGAATTTGTCCCTTCTGCATTTAGATTTCTGTGATCCTGAATTAAAGGGTTTTGTATTTGGAAGGAGCTCGTGGGTTAAATGAGTCAGGAGAAGGCAAACAATGTACATGTAACTGGAAGTCTGGTGGTTTCATTTTTAAAACTGCAACTTGGAAGAGTTAGGGTGTGATGTGAAAATGAGTTAAGGAATTAAAAAAAAAAATGATTAGGTCTTTGGAGTTACATCCACAAGTTGTTTTAAATTATGTGAGGAAACATTATTATCCTTAAATTGAAGAGTTAAAACTATCTTCCATTCTAAACAAAATCCAGACTCTACATGGACCTTCAAAGTTTAAAACCATTGTTGAATTGAACAACAACATTACAAGCATGTGAAAGCCTAATAAACCATCTGTCCGTCTGCTTTAACACAAATTGGGAAAAAGAAAAGTGTAAATGCCAAAAGCTGAAAGCAGAGTTGCTAACTACACATGAAACTAATAAACCCTATCACACAGAGCGAGTGTATGAAAAACTCTAGACTGTGGCCTCCATTTCATTCTTTAGAAATAGAATCATGTAATTTTATAATTGAATTATCTAGTCCTTAATATCATCTGGAGTCTAAACTTTATATTTTACAAATGAAGAATTGAAGCCCAAAGAGGGTAAATTGTTTGCTCAATATTACCCAGATTAATTGGAAATGAAGCCAGTATTCAGGCTCAGATTTCCTGTCTCACAGACCTGCCAGCATCTGGCATATACTTACTTACTAGTTACCCAAAGTTTTTCAACATCAGAAGTCTTTGCCTTTGCAGTTTTGCCTACAGGGTCTGAGTGATGTGTGAAATTGAACTTGGTATTAACTAGAAAGTTATTGCTCTCAGAGGCCATTTTTGTGCCACTGGTTTCCACGATTCCTATTTCACAAGGTCCATATCACCTGGTCAAGGTTTTTCTTTATAACCCAGGCAATCCTGGCCAGGACTGTCCCAACCAAACACATTCATCCTAGGAGGTGCTAAGAGTTGTGCATGAGTACAGATACTATGAAGTCCCCATTGTCAAGAAAATTACAATATTACTGGGGAGGTAAGATATAAAGCAAATAGATAAACAATTCACCATTAATAACTGAGGAAAATAACCAAGGATTCAATCATAAAATCTGAATCTTAAACTGAAAATTATAGATGTAAATTAAGGGAAGATTTCTTACAAGGACAGAAAAAAGGAAATGGAGAATTTGGATTGGTGTAAAGGAGATTGCTTGAACAAAGGTACAGGGAAGAAAACAAACAAGCTAAGAATGGGGAAAAGTTAGGAGAATTAGAATTAGAACAGGAGACTCATATTAGAAACAATAGAAAACCAAGCTGAAATGGTAAGGGGGAACCACACATAGAGAACCTGAATTTGAACCCAAGAAAATTAGATTTGATCTAATAGGAGATCATTTTGGATGAATTTGGCAGGGGAGAGAGTTGAAGACAAGACAGGAGACCATAACTTCTAAAATAGCAAGTGGGGATTTTGAAAGAAATGTTAGTCATAAATAAGCCTAAGGAAAAGAGTTGAGTGAGTATATACAGGGATCAAAGAACAGTAAGAAGTCCAGGATGACTTTAGAATTACAGCAAGAGTCAGTAATGGTATATGTAGACCTGAGCACCTTGGAGTTGGAAATGATCAGCATTCAAAGGGTGCTCAAAGGGTGATCAGCTTCTCCACTTGCTAGAGAAGGAAGTAAAAAATTGTCCCAAGGTATGCTTTCCTATTCATCACATACATTCTCATTCCAGAAAACTATAATTTGCCGCTCAAATTGAATTAGAAGGTAAGAAAGAAAACTCTCGCCCTGTCATGGGTCTTATGCTGGTGTTTTATGGTCGACCTATTTTTATTTCCGTTTCAGCCCTACTGATGTAAAAGTGCTCAATGGTGCAGTATATAATGTTACAGTCAGAAATAAATCAATAAGTGTTTGCTAAATACATACCAAATGCAGCTCAGCACTCTGCTAGGCCTGAGGACTAGAAAAACATTTAAAAAAGCCTCTCCCTTTCAGAAGCTCATAATCTGGTTGGAGGGGGAAAAAAAAAAAACACACCTGACACAATAGAAAATAAATTCCATGGATAGTGAGAACAACCTGGGGACTGTACAGTGTGCTTATATAAAAACAGTAAGGAATTGGGTTAGATGGATTAGAAATGGTCTAATCCACAGTGTTCACCAACCAACAGATTTTCATAAATCTCTAAGTTCTAGGTTCTGGAAGTAAAGCCATAAAATAAAAAACCCCTGCCCTCAGGGAGTACACATTCTATTTGGGAGAGGCAGAGAGGAACAAATAAATATATAACTACTAAATAGTCATAATTGTTCTGAAGAAAATTAAATGCAAAAGCATCAAAATGAGTAGGAGATCATGGGACAGCTGGGTGGCTCAGCCGGTTGAGCATCTGACTCTTGATTTTGGCTCAGGTCATGATCTCAAGGTCATAAGGTCAAGCCCAACCTCAGGGTTCCTCACTCAGTGGAGAATCTGCTTGAGATTCTCTCTCCCTTGCCGTCTGCCTCTCCCCTTGCTCAGGCACAAGTTCTCTCTGTCTCTCTCAAATAAGTAAATAAATCTTGGTAAAAAAAAATGAGTAGGAGAGTAGGTTAGACCTTTCTGAGGAAAATTTAAACAATAACTCAAATGAAAGAAACAGCTGGTCATGGGATGACCTGTAGAAGGTAAGTTCAGGCAGAGAAAAAACTAGCACAGAGCCCTAAGGAGCAGTCAAGCTTAGTGTCCTTGAGACTAAAAAAGGCAAGTGTTTCTGGAATGTAAAGAGCCAAGAAGAAGGTAAAGGAGGTGAAAAAGGAGAGAAAAGTAAGGCCCTGTAGGTAAGAAGGGATTTTAAGGTGAGATTAAAGTATAGATATTTAGAAGATTAGTCACTCTGGCATTGTGGATTAGAGGAGAGAGAAAGGACCAGATGGAAGCCTGCCTGCATGACAATCCAGAACGGAGGTGATGTGAGGTAGACAAGGTTGGTGGCAGGGTTTGCAAAGAAGACAAAAATGTCAATGAGATCAACTACTGGGTATTTATGAGGGATGGTAAATGGTGTTGGGTGGGGAGAGTCCACAGTGTCAAATACAGCAAAAAGGTCAAGGAGAATAAACTCTAAGTGAAAGCTAGTGTAGGTAACAGGAAAGATGTCATGTGTGACCTCCAAGAGAAGAGTCTCCATAGGGCGGGGAGTTAAGAAGTGAGAAAATGAATGTAGGGAACTTCGACTGTAAGAATCAGTACAAATCAAAAGACAAAAATTTTTTGTTTTCTTTTATTTACTTTTTAAGGCCTTTTACATTCGGAATGCTATTACATTTTTAAAGCCATTTAAACATCCCAAGCCTGGTCTAATATTTTGTCTCCATACTAAAGAAAGAACAAGTTTATACCATGGCGACATATCTTATATATGTTTCTGGGCTAAAAATCAGTCACCATCAATGACTCCCTACCCTAAATACAATCAGAAAAAGCTCACCCTTATTCCTGAGATAAGACAAGAGTCTGACAGTAGAAACACGAAGGCAGATGGAGTCCCATATCAGTTACGGTTCCCTTACAGCCATCTGTAATGTCTAAACCAGGTGGGCTCTGTGTGTTACCTTGAGTACATCACGTCATCCCAGTGAACTCCAGGTTTTCATTAGGAAGGGAAAGAATCTCTCCGATTTTAAGCTTCTAGACATACAGGTTAGCACTTCTACAAAAGAAAACAGATAGCATGCTGTGAGATCCACGTGAACAGCTATCACGACTCCAAGTGCTACGTTCGCACAGTCTTTCCGGAGAGACAACTTGGTTGAACAAGATGTTCTTTCCTTCAGCAAATTTTAAGACAATTAACAAGTATTTTTCCCCCTGGAAACAGACGAGACTGGTTTGGTAGTCAGAAAGGAAGGAGAAATTTAAGTCCCTTCCATTCATCGTTGTGTGCATCTCGGGCATCTCAAGGAAACCAAGCCTGACTCTGGCTAAGTTGTTCCCACACATGCACGTGCATGCCTTTTCCCAATTGTC